ATTCTTTGATAATATATATACACACACTCGCAGCTGCCTTAGGGCTAAGCCTTTCTCTCATAATTTTCATAATTTCATTACACCTATTTCACTTAAACAAAATAACTATGACGATTTATCTAGCTCATTTCGACTTTCCTTTCAAGCACGTTGGATGTTTCAAGGCCTCTCTATCTTATTTTCATTCAATAAAAGTCTTCTCTAGTGCCTCTCTAATTTTTAATGGGGAAAATTCCAGAAATAGGAGTAAATAAGTTTGTAAATTCCAAAATAGGATTACCATGTTTTTATTCCCAAAATAGGAGTAATTATTGTCAAGTTTGGAAAAGATTGTCATGTTTAAAGTCTGGTACTTCCAAAACATGGCAGTAATTAGTCTTATTTTAGGAATAAAAATATGATAGTCCTATTTTGGAATATACAAACGTTTTAGTCATATTTAGGGTAATTTCCCTTTTAAATGTTGTGGGAAAGGTAAAGGGAAAATGTATGAATCATAAGGATGAAAGAAGTAGCCACATACTTATTACATATAGGAGGTTGAGGCATGTGAAAAGTTGAGAGAATTTAATCTCTTCGATTATAATTGTGATAAAGTCTGAACATAGTATTGAACATGTGAGTAGTGTAAATTTTTTAATGTTGCAACTAAAAAGAAACGGAGGGTAGTATGCAACAATGTCTTTGAAAATATTTGCATGTGATACATTTTGAGCTTAATGCAACTAATAATATAATCAATATATGTTTTACAATAATAGAAATCATTCATGAGATCGCGATATGACCTAGATAATGTGAATCCCGAGATAATCCAAATAGACGCAAGTTTCAAATATTGTACTTCTATATTACTCTTTAACGTTATTCTTTATGTTTTTAGCGTTTATTTTTTAAAATGACACATAATCTGACCGGTAGACTCAATACAAACTCGAAGTCAAATATGTTTAGTGGTTGGAGCAAAGGTAGTTGAAATTTATTTTTCTACCTTAATTAAAAGCCAATCACATCAATGCGCACTTAATACGGGCCGATAATACTTGGACGAATTCATCTGACAATATATAGATATACATTATGGTTTTAGCGTTTACTTTGTAAAATGACACTTATTATGACCGATAGACTCAAAACAAACTCGAGGTCGAATCTTCAGTAGTGGTGGGAGCAAAGGTAGCTGAAATCCATTTGTTTGCCTCAATTCAAAGCCAATCACGTCAATGCGTACTTAATACAGGTCGATAACAGTTGGAAGAATTCATCTGACAATCTATAGATATATGTTATGTTTTTAGCGTTTACTTTGGAAAATGACACTAACTATGACCAATAGACTGAAAACAAACTCGAGGTCAAATGTTTAGTGGTTAGAACAAAGGTAGCTGAAATTCATTTGCCTGCCTCAATTAAAATCTAATCATATCAATGCATATTTAATACAGGTTGATAACAGTTGGACAAACTCATCTGACGATCTATAGATATACGTTATGTTTTTAGCGTTTACTTTGTAAAATGACACTTATTATGAACGATAGTCTCAAAACAAACTCGAGGTCGAATCTTCAGTAGTGGTGGGAGCAAAGGTAGCCGAAATCCATTTATCTGCCTCAAATCTAAGCCAATCATGTCAATCCGTACTTAATACGGGTCGATAACAGTTGGACGAATTCATCTGACAATCTATAGGTATATGTTATGTTTTTAACGTTTACTTTGTGAAATGACACTTACTATGACTGATAGACTCAAAACAAACTCGAGGTCAAATGTTAAGTGGTTAGAGCAAACGTAGCTGAAGTTCATTTCCATGCCTCAATTAAAAGCCAAACACATCAATGTGTACTTAATACATGTCGATAACAGTTGGACGAACTCATCTGACAATCTATGGATAATACAGTATGAAGTATGAATGTAATTCTACCTCATGTCATATTGATTGAATATAATTTACATGACACACTTTGATTGAAAAAAGTAGGCACATTAACTCATTAAACGTGAAATAGAGGGTCTGATCCGACTAAGTCCCATCTCAACTCATGTCCATTCAAGCATCCCTTTCACAAAAGTTCCAAGTCTATCGATGTTGTGTATTTGTAAATTATAATAATTCTGCTTAGAAGCTAAATTGTGAAATCACTAATTGTTTAAGGGCTAGTATGACCCTTTTCTCTATATTATGCAATTTCATAATGTCATTATTATTAACATTGACATCATTTAAAACATATGAAAAATGTCATTCAAAATACTTCCATGCGATACATTTTGAGCTTAATGCAACTTATGAGTTCATGATATAACCTAGATAATGCAAATTCCAAGATAATCTAAATGGTTGCATGTCTCTAATATCACACTGTTACATTGAAAAAATTCCACTTTTGGTCACATGACTATTATACCACTTCCACATTTAGTCCCTTACTTTCCAGATTGTCCACATTTAGTCCGTGACCATTATCCCCTCACCACCCCTCATTCTTCCGGCTAAAATTCCGGCAAATTTAGCTCACTTATCAGCCTCAGAATCAGTCTTTGCATTAAATTTTATATAAGGTTGGGTTTTTCATATCAGTCTTTACATTAAATTTGGTTTTTCATACCTAAAATCTGCATCAAATTTGCCGAAATTTTGGCCGGAAGGACGAGGGATGGTGACGGGATAATGGTCACTAACTAAATGTGGACAATCTGAAAGTAAGGGACTAAATGTGGAAGTGGTATAATAGTCATGGGACCAAAAGTGGAATTTTTTCATTTTACATTACTCGTTTACGTTATGCGTTACATTTTGACCTATAGACTTCAAACAAACTAGAAGTCAAATGCTCAGTGACGACAACAATTTGCCTCAATTATAGCCAATCACGTCAACACATACTTAATACGAGTCAATTACAGTTGGACTGACTCATCTGACAATCCAAATATAATCTGAAGTTATATAATCAGACTACGCCTAAATCATTTTTACTAATTTACATATGTATATATTTTGTTTTACTCTTTTGTATGTAAAAATAACTCGTAATTTTCTTAATTTAATTACACTCTTGTAGAACATATAAGCTTAACATTTAATAAAGGTCCTTCTATTGGAATATAACCAAAGGAATAATAAAAGATACATACATGACTCTTTTTAGTTTTTCATAAGATTGACTTACTACCTTAACTCCTCCAATATTTAATATAACGTTTATTATAATAAGTTAATAATACTATATTTATTATTACTCGCGTCCATATTTACTTAGTTATCTTTAACTTTTCATGTCAATGATTGTATCATGTAGTCATATGTTTTAACTAATACCGTTTATATTTTTACAAACCTTTTTTTTATAAAAAACAATCTTTCATTAATTCAATAAGTCATTGATGACTCTGCCTTACAATACAATTAGAAATATAATCGTATGTAATTCTAACATTTGAGATAGCTATATGCTTGCCCCAAGAAGATCAGAGGTGTGAACAACATGATTAAAGATTTATAAAACACATATTAAAGGTTTAGAAAACTTTATATTAAAGATTTACAAAACTTATAAATTTATGATTTTATGATAATATTTTCAAAAGATTTTCATATTATAAATGATGGCATATGGTCGCACTCCTAGACAATTTCAGGTTAGATGTACAATAGACACCTCAATTAAGACACTTCTTTCTTTCACACAATATTGTGAAGGTTGTCAAATCAATGTTATTGACACTTTCATCATAGAAGTGATAAAACAATCCCATTTTTGTGTCCACTACTATTCAATTCATCTTTTACACACGGTCACATGACACGCATAGACATCACTTTATTATCTTGTCATATTTGTCCACCAATCACCATGTATTAAAACACGATTTACTGATTTTTTCGATGGGGAAAGAATTAAATACTACCTCCGTCCCATAATTTACTTCCAAAATAAAGTGTCACGCGGATTAAGAAAGTTGTAATTGTGTGATGGAGAGTTGTGCAGAGGAGAAAGAAATGCTGTGAACCACAAATTCTTTGCCAAAAAAGGAAAGAGAAATTCTTTTTGGAACGGACAAAAAAGGAAAGTTAGAAGTATTTTGAGGGACGGATGGTGTATCATTAATAGAATCAATGTAATTTGGAGATCCACTCCAAGAAATACATTCTGACAAAGAACAATATTTGTGCCAACAAAAAACGATTTACTCATTAGTACTTACAGAGTAGTATTTTAATAACTTTTTACATAGTATGTAAATATTTAATGCGTACTATTCCCTTGGTTACTATATTTGTTCCATTTTTCATTCTCTGTTATCAGATTTGGTAATATTTGTATGTCTCTAATTCATTGTATTTTTTATTTTATCAATTCATTATTCACCATAAAAAGATTATACTCCGTATATTTTAATAACTTTTTTACATAGTATGTAAATATTTAATGCGTACTATTCCTTTCGTTCCTATAATTGTTCCATTTTTCCCTTTCTATTCATCTCACTAAATTTGTCAGTTATCAGATTTGGTAATATTTGTGTGACTCTAATTCATTATTCTGTTATTTTTATTTTATCAATTCATTATTCACCACAAAAAGATTATACTCCGTATATATTTAGTTAAAATTGATTGTTTGATAGTACTACAGGTTATTATAACTAATTAAATTCATAACCAAGATAGATTTTCTCAAAAACTATTCAGATTGACTTTTGAATCGAAGTCTTAAAATTTCAAAACTTCTTCTACAACGTGTTTCCACACATAATCCTTCATGAATCCTTTCTAAATAATTGTCTCGTTTTATTATCTGCACACAAATCCACCTCTATAGAAATTACCTTTTGCATTCCAATCTGGAATACATCTCTTTTTTTTGGTTTATTAACAAATGTGGAACTTCAAACAAAACAGTTAATTCCCAATTAAGATGTGAAATTCTTTGCAGTGCACTACAATTTTTTTGTTATTACTATAATTAATGGGGGTGAATCTTTTGGGGGGAAATAAAAATAAATAAGTGCAGCTTGAAATGGGAAATTAAACTAGAAGACAGATACATTATTGATGATTATCATAAATATAATATACATTCACAGCCATTCATTCCAATATAATCTGCAAAACCCTGATTAGCCCTCTCATCCAGACTACACCATCACATTGATTGCTTACAATTCCCAAAGTCTTCATCTAATATCCCAATAAAAAACAAATAAAAAAACGACAACAATAATAACAAATAAAATACCATTACTCCATATAATAAAGACAATTCCAGTTATACCCATCCATTTCCCAAGGAATCCACCGCCGTCGCCACCGCACCGGACTATCTCATCTCTTCTTCTTCTTCTTCTCAATACTGGAAGAAATCTGCAGAAGCCATGATGGGGGTCTGGTTCATGAACATCCACGGATTGTTCATCACAGCCTGATGAGTTCCCCCTGTCTGGAGGAGGAAGTCATCATCCACAAAGGCATCACCACCAAAAACGCCAGCTGAGCTTGAGTTCATGGAGCTGAGGATATCATTCAGAGACTGAAGCCTCTGGCTTAGCTCCATCATCTGAGCCCTCAGAACAGAATTCTCCGCCTCCACGCGCATGTAATGCTGCGTCGTGATGTTCATCCTCTCCAGGATCTGGCTGTTCTCCTGCTTGAGTTGCGCCGCCTGAACCATCATCTCATCCAGGTGCTGCTGCTTCCTCATCCGCGATCTCCTTGCAGATTCTCTGTTTGACTGCATTCTCTTCCTCTTCCTCTCGTTCATCAGGACCTGCAGATTCTCCTCCGAACCGGAATTGGTAATCTGAGTAGATCCGGACGAATTTCCACTTGATGAAGCCATTTTTTCACAACAGAAACGTCAGACACCTAAAATTCGCGGGAACCAGACTAAATTACGACTGCTAGTTTGAATTACTTATTTCCGAAGTAAATCTACGAAGATCTAGCTACGATTAATTTAACCGATGATGGAGATCAGGGAAGCAGTTTCTGAGAAAACATAAAACCAGTAGAGGAAGACAACAGAGAAAGACTGAACAAGATGAGCGCTGCGTATGAAGGAGGTGCTGATCATAAAACCGGAACGAAGGATTTCACTGAGAACAGGAGACATCAATCTCAAACATCAAAAACGCATTCCGAAGCATCAATGATTGGTGCCTGAGCTTACAGAGAACTTTTGAAATCTGAAAGGAAAAAAGGTAGATCTGAAAAATGAAAAGATAGAAAGGGGGGAAACTAGAAAAGAAAGCAGCAGAGAAATGAGGATTACAGATCGAAAATCTTAAGCTTAAAGAAAGGAGAGAAGGAGAAAGGGAAGGGAGATTGAGGGTGAAGGAGGTGCGTTATATAGAAGGAAAGTAAGTGGTAGGCAAGGTAAAAAAAAAAGAAAAAAAAAGAAAAAGGAAAAAGGAAAAGGAAGTGGAGTAATTTCGTACTAGAGGGGTCAGTCATACGGAGTAATAGAATCGATTAATAACATCTGGCGCCCTGGCGGCCGTGAATTTAGTTTTTTCTGATTTTTTAAAGAAAACTTATACTCCCTGCTACCACCTTCCCAATGGGATTAGATAGGGGAGAAATAAAATTAGTAAAAGTTATATAGTTGAAATTTGTCCATATTAGAGAGAAATAAGTAAAATCACAAAATAGTTATTTTAATAAAAATTAGCAAAATTATATTGGGATAATCAAAAAGGGAAATTTGTCAAAATCAAATACTTCCTCCGTCCATCAATACTTTGCCATGTTTGACTGGCATGACAAATAATAAAGTTAAACTTGTGTGGTTGAGATATGTGCATATAAGAGAGAAATAATATGAAGCACAAATTGATTGATTAAAATAGAAAGTGATACTCCCTCCGTCCCAATTTGATTTGCAAAATTTCCCTTTTTGGTTGTCCCAAAATGGTTTTCCACTTTCTATTTTAGGTGTGTAAATAAGAATAAAGTGACAAATTTACCCCTACTTTTACTTTTTTCCATTAACTTAAAGACATCTACTATTAAAAAGATGAGCAAAAGTGTAAAAAACAAGCATCATTTATTGTCATTTCTTAATCCTTATGCCGGTCAAAGTTTTCAATTCAATTCGGAACGGAGGGAGTAAAGTTTTTTGGACGTCCAAAACGAAAGGATGACAAAGTTATAACTTTGTACTCCTCCTTTTAAATATGAACGCTGGAAGTAATATAAATGCGATTATAATAATAAATGTTATGCGGAGTACTAAATCGGGGAGGAATTAGAATAGTCAATCATTTTTAATAAAAAAAAACTAAAAAGGGTCGTATATATAACTTTTATGTTTCTTTTAGTTATATTCTAATAGAACAACCTTTATAAAGTGCTAAACTTACACGTTCTATTAGTTATCTTATTGCTAAATTTTCAATTACTTTACAAAAAGGCTTTTGAAATTAGAAGAGCCGATTTAGGTGTAATGTTATTTTAAGAACTCATATTAAGGACATTTCTATTATGACAAGACCAACACATATTTATGTGACATCAACTTTGTAATTAATGCAATATATAACTATTGTGTATTTATTGTTTTATCTTTGCTTTGAAGATTTGAAATATATGAACTTTTTATCTCATTCATGAATTTTTCTACATAGACACATAGTCTAAATTTGAAATGCAATTTCTATGTATTATTCATTAGTTATGAACTATATCTTTCTTACACATTCTATATCTTCATTTTCATTTTGTACCAAAAACATTCATTACTCATCAAACAACGGACTACAATTAAGGTAAATTATACTTTGCAATGCACGAGTTGATTGACCAGTAACATGTATGTGAATTGGTAAAAAACGAGCAGTAGATGTAAAGCTAAGTAACTACAGATAATATCTAGAGTGTCAAATCAATTGGTCTAACTGTAACTGCCTCGTATTAAGTACGCGTTAATGTGATGGTTTTAGTTCAGACAACTGAAGTAATTTTGATTAAGTTTGCTGTCAGACTGTCACCACCGAAGATTTGACTTCTATGTTGATTCATGTCTATAGGTCATAATAAGTGTCATTTTATAAAATAAGCGCTAAAAACGTCAATGTATACGTAATAGAGTAATACTACTTTCGTCTAAAAAAACATTATATTTCAAAAGAAATTGAACCATGGTTTTGATTAATTAGTACTCCCTCCGTCCCGGAATTATCTTCATTCTTTCCTTTTCAGTCCGTCCCAAATTTATCTCCTTTTCCCCTTTTTGGTAAAGAATATGTGGTTCACAACCATTCTTACACATTTCTCTCTCCTCTGCATAACTCTCCACCACACAAATCTCACTATCTTAAAACTCGTGCCCGATCAAAAACGAAGTTAAATATGGGACGGAGGGAGTATAATATTATGAATGTTAGAAACTTTATACTTTTATGAAAGTACTTTTAACAAATAACATTTTCATACAATTTTTATATTATAAATTAGTTTCAATAAAAATATATGATTGACGAAGTTTTGAAAATGACAAAGTTTTGAGTATGACATTTGAGACTTGTGTGCTTTTAGATTACTTCAAGATTTGATTATCTAGGTCATGTATGTATGTATGTATGTATGTATGTATGTGTGTGTGTGTTTATGTATGTATGTAATATTATAACAATAAATGATATTAAATACGGGAGGAATTAGAATAGTAAGTCATTTTTATTAAAAATACTAAAGAGGGTCGTACATATAACTTTTATGTTTCTTTTAGTTATACTCCGATAGAAGAACCTTTATTAAATGCTAAACTTACATGTTCTATTAGTCATTTTATTGCTAAATTTTTAATTACTATACACAAAGGCTTTTCAAATTAGAAGCACCGATTTAGGTGTAATGTTATTTCAAGAACTAATATTAAGGACATTTCTATTATGACAAGACCAACTCATATTTATGTGACATCAACTTTTTAATTAATGGAATATATAACTATTGTGTATGAATTTTCTACATAGTCTAAACTTGAAATTTAATTTCAATGTATTATTCATTAGTTATGAACTATATCTTTCTTACACATTCTATATCTTCAATTTGATTTTGTCTAAAAATATTCATTACTCATCAAACAACACACTACAATTAAGGTAAATTATACTTTGCAATGCACGGGTTGATTGACCAGTAACATGTATGTGAATTGGTAAAAATCGAGCAGTAAATGTAAAGCTAAGTAACTACAGATAATATCTAGATTTTCAAATCAATTGGTCGAACTATAACCGCCTCGTATTAAGTATGCGTTAAAGTGATTGGTTTTAATTGAGGCAGCTGAAGTAATTTTGACTAAGTTTGTTGTCAGACTGTCACCATCGAAGATTTGACTTCTAGGTTGTTTCATTTTATAAAATAAGCGCTAAAAACGTAACGTATAACGTAATAGAGTAATACTACCTTCGTCTCAAAAAACATTTTCATTTCAAAGAAATTTAACCATGGTTTTGATTAGTATTCCGTATAATATTATGAAGGTTATAAATTTTATACTTTATGAAAGTTCTTTTAACAAAGAACATTTCCATACAATTTTCATATTATAAATTATTTTCAATAAAAATATATGATTGGCAAAGTTTTGAAAATGACAAAGTTTTTTGGGACGGAGGTAGTATAAGAGTATGACATTTGAAACTTGTGTGCTTGTAGATTACATCAAGATTTGATTATCTGTATAACACTTGAGATTTAATTTAAACGGATTAATAGTACTACTCATACCAACAAGACGCGTTTCCTTTTAAGGGAGCTCATCACCCAAGAACTTCAAAGTTAAGCGTGTTGGCACGGGAGTAATCTTGGGATGGGTGACCATCTGGGAAGTTTCTCAGGGCGCGCACGAGTGAGGACAAAGTGCGCGGAAAAAGAAAGTGACGGTTTGTGAGGAAAGTACTAGAGGTCTGGAGGGTGTGTTGAGTAACTACCTCGGGTCTTATGGGGCCGGGGTGTTACAGGGGGTGTCAGATCAACTCTACAACAGTGTGCTGACCCGTTGGATATCGGGCGGGCACTTAGCGGGGGAGGATTCTGGGATTTGATTAAGATTTGAGATTGGTTTATGGGCGCAACGAGGACGTTGCGTTCCTAAGTGGGGGTGATTGTAACACTTGAGATTTAATTTAAAGGGATTAATATTACTACTCATACCAACAAGATGCATCTCCTTTTAAGGGAGCTCATCACCCAATAATTCCAAAGTTAAGCGTGCTTGCACGGGAGTATGTATGTATGTATGTATGTATGTATGTACGTACGTACGTACGTAGGAAGAAATTAGGAAATCAAAATTCAATACTGTGATCTGCCGGAAAGCTAATTTCATCACCTCAGAAAATTATATGCCGACCGAGAACTTGAACACGCAGCTAAAAATCTATAGGAAGTCTCAAAAGAATAAGAGGCGACACAACATGCAAACTAGGTCCCAATCCAGAGATTTCCCATGGGATTAGCCTTCTTCTCCTTTAATTTAGTACTTTTATTTATCTTTTTTTCTCTTTCTTGTACTTTTTTTTTTCTTTTTCGCATTGTACTCTCAATTTTTATCAATAAAATCTCCCCTTTCCAAAAAAAAATGTAAGTAGGTAGGTACGTATATTCTAAAATAGAACTCCCTGCGTCCTAACTTAAGGTTGTCGATCACTCGTTTCTTTTGGAAGTCCCAGCTAAACGTTATCATTTCTATTTTATGATATAATTAGCATTCCTAAATGATAATATAATCATCAAATATTACAAATAATACATACTTCGTATATAAAATCACAATTATCATCAATGACCTCGTTATATTTTATAACCATCAAAACTATTTTTTAAAATATACTCGAATGACCATAAGTAATTATCGTCTAAGCGAACCCTTCCATTTTAATTGGGAATCTTATGACGGGTGATGGTAGTACTATTTTAATTATTATATATATACATAAATTCATTAATTTTACTATCAAGACTCTAAAAACAAAAATTTTAGTAGTTTTTAAAAAATACTCTTCCCGTTATTTAATAAGTGTCTCTTATTCCATTTTGATTGATTGTCCTCCTTTCCATTTTAAGAAAGTTTTTCATTGATTGTCCTCCTTTCCATTTTAAGAAAGTTTTTGAGAGAATTATCCTCACTTTTATTACTTTTACCCCTTTTAATCATTACATATTACTTTCTGTTTTATACTTTATCATTACTTTACTCTTCTTAATATACCCATTTTCCTTACTTTATCATCATTTTACTCTTCTTGAAATACTCTTTTTTCTACTTTACCATTTACCTTACAGACTCTATATTACTCTTAGGGTATGTTTGG